CACATATCCAAGTGTCCTGGGTCACATTTGAAAAAAATCTGATCTGTGCCGTTCAGACAATGTCAATAAAAGATCAGATACAGGAACATAGAAGCCAAAAAATCTGATTTGGGTCACTTCAGGCTGCAGTCTGAACGCAGCCTAAGACAGGGACTAAGACAGGGACTAAGACAGGGACTAAGACAGAGACTGAACCAGGGACTGAACTAGAGACTGAACCACGGACTAAGACAGGGACTAAGACAGAGACTGAACCAGGGACTGAACCAGGGACTGAACCACGGACTAAGACAGAGACTAAACCAGGGACTAAGACAGGGACTAAGACAGAGACTGAACCAGGGACTGTCTTAGTCCCTGGTTCAGTCTCTGTCTTAGTCGCTGGTTCAGAGACTGAACCCAGGACTAAGACAGGGACTAAGACAGGGACTAAGACAGGGACTAAGACAGGGACTAAACCATCCATAGAAACAAGCAGGTGTGGACCCCCTGAACCTAAAAGTTACACAGTGCGGCTTTAAGACAACTTGGGCTCGAGCTACATCACGGATAAAAATGGCATCAGTGAACGGTGACCCCCGAGTGTGAGACGAGACGAAGACACAAACTATAACAAAATACAACAACTACAACAACTACATCTACAAGACCAACTACAACTACATCTACAAGAACTACTACATATACAAGAACTACTACATCTACAAGAACAACTACATCTACAAGAACTACATACAAGAACTACTACAAGACCAACAACAACTACAACAGCTACAGCTACTACTACAACAACTCCAACAACGTTCCAAACGTAAACACATCTGAGGCGTGAGATCTCCCTGTGAACCCAGCACATCTGACACGACCTCTGTTCTCCAAATCAGACAGTTTACAGTTCTATTAACCCATTGACGCCGGATGCTGCGCAGCACTGAGTCTCCTGCAGATGTTCTGGATTGTCTGGTGATCAGTGTAACTGGTAAAGGCAGAGCCACATCTGGAAGCATCGGGGGCGTGTCCTCCTCTCGCTTCCATTCACTCCCATAGAGACGCAAAACTGCTGGAGCTGTATTGTCGCGTTAAACCTTCTTTATCGTGGCGTTTTATTTCCCCACTGAAAAATAATCCAAATGTTTCCCGCACATGTTCCCATCAAGACCTGGTTTGAAGTAACAAACGTTGCTCTTTACTGCAGCGCATGAACGCAGCTCAAACACCTGATCTGTTCACTGCTCCAGACGCTCCTATAACAGGTGACATGTCACTATGTCGTGTAACAAATAAACATGGTCAAACACAAAAATGTTGTCCGTGTCATTGTCACTGCCAGGATTTTTTGAAAATTGTTTTGTACTCGGCTCCAATGTGAGTCAGTAGTCACATTTTCTTAACGTTTTGGTCGTTTTTAAGCAGCTTTTCTGTATTTTACCTCAACAAATGACACTTTGAGTCTCTTTCCTGATCAGATTGGTCAAAAATAGAAACACTTGGGACATTTCTTGCATAAAATTGGGACAAATTAATAAACAGGGACGTGTGGTCACTCTAAAACTGATATTTGTAGCTGAAGCATAAAAATATTAAGATCAACTCTAAACAACACTAAATAGGAACGAACAATTTGGGATAAACACGCAACAAATTTTTCTGACACACTGAGATTGTGATTATATTTACATTAGAACTTTGAATCCCATTATTAAAACACGAACACATCCAGAAGACGACAAAAAAACGGAAGTCTAATCAAACTGACACAAGAATCACATTTCTGAACATGTTTGTATCTAAACTACAGGTTTAACTGTTTTTATGCTGAGTAAGTCATTTAATTTCTTCCCAAAGTGTTAAATGTGATTCTTGTTTAGAGTGACCAGATTTTCAAAATCAAAAACTGCAACAACCCCAATTTATGGTGATTGGTAATAATAAAATAGTGAAACGAGTGTGTAATTAAGGAAAACTGTTGCTCCCATTCATCACTAATGAGAGTCAGTACAGGCATTTATTTTTGTGTTTTGGTCGTTTTTAAGCAGCTTTTCTGTATTTTACCTAAACAAATGACACTTTATGCGTCTCTTTACTGCTGACCAGATCAGGATGGTCAAAAATAGAAACACCTGGGACATTTCTTGTATAAAACTGGGACAAATCACTGGTTTTGGATAAATCTGTTGGGACAGAGGACACAGACTCAAAACTGGGACTGTCCCGAGTAAACAGGGACGTCCGGTCACACTAAAACAGATATTTTTATGCTTCAGCTACATGAAGTAAGATCAACTCATGATAAACATTTGATGTACAATAAGTAGGACTGAACAATTTGGGATAAACATGCAACTAAATTTTTCTGACATATATTACGATTGTGATTATATTTGGGTTTTAATAATAGGATTATATTATTAAAACCCAAATAATAATTGGGTAATAGTTCAAATGTAAAAACATCCACAAGACAAAAAGACTGAAGTCTGATCAAACTGACACAAGACTCACATTTCTGAACATGCTTGTATCTAAACTACAGGTGAAACAGTTTTTATGCACAATAATACAATACATTTAATTTCTTCTCAAACCATTATGTGATTGTCGTTTAGAGTGACCAGATTTTCAAACTCAAAAACTGCAACAACCCCAATTTATGGTGATTGTTAATAATAAAATAAATAGTGAAACGAGTGTGTAATTAAGGAAAACTGTTGCTCCCATTCATCACTAATATGAGTCTGTACAGGCATATTTTTTGTGTTTTGGTTGTTTTTAAGCGGCTTTTCTGTATTTTACCTAAACAAATGACAAAATGTGTCTCTCTTTACTATTGACAGGGATCAGATTGGTCAAAAATAGCACATTTCTTGCATATAAACTGGAACAAATCAGTAGTTTTGGATAAATCTGGTGGGACAGGGGACACAGGCTCAAACCTGGGACTGTCCCGGAGACACAGGAACGAGTGGTCACTCTAAAACAGACACTAGTTGTAGCTGGAGCATAAAGATATTATGATAAACAGAACCAAACAATATGGGATAAATATATAACTGCAATGATTATATTTGAGAAGTCTGATCAAACTAACACAAGAATCACATTTCAGAGCATATTTGTGCACATCTAAACTACAGGATTAGCAGTTTTTAAACGCAGAATAAGTCATTTAATTCCTTCCCGAAGTGTTAAATGTGTTTGTTGTGGAACAGTGGACAGGAGGCAGCAGACATGTCCCCGGGGTTCCCGCTCTGGACAGTGTAAACAACAGCAAAAAACACCAAGAAAATCTCCACGAGCCGAACTACAGACGTGCCAGCGGGTCTCAGGAACACCACTGAATATTTATCACCAAAAGCAGAAAATAAAAAGGTTTATAATCCAGCGACAGGCCTTAAACACACAGAGTACGAGCTCCGGAGCTAACCGTGCTAACCCGAGCATCAACTGTCAACACGAAGACAGAAAACTACAAATACACACAAGAAAAGCCTCAGGTACATGTGAAACAAACTGCACGCACATGTGAGGACGTGAGGACAGGGGGACGGTGATGTCCAGTGTTGGGAAGTTTACTTTTAAAATGTAATCCCCTACTGATTACAGATTACTCACCCCAAAATGTAGTTTGTAATGTAATCCATTAAAATACTTCAGGTGAGTAATGTAATCTGATTACTTTGGATTACTTGATTTGCTGTAGAGAAACAAAGACGAGGAAATCTTCACATAAGAAGTTTTATCTGATAAAAGAAAATAAAAAGTCCAGATTTTACTGAACCAAATTAAAAATATTATTGATAGAAGACGAAGAAACACGTCCACACAGCAGGATTTAGTCCTGTTAAATCCTGGTTTAGACCTGGTTTTAAACCTGGTTCAGTCCTGGTTCAGACCCAGTTCAGACCTGGGTTCAGACCTAGTTTAGACCTGGGTTCAGACCTAGTTTAGACCTAGTTCAGTCCTAGTTTAGACCTAGTTCAGACCTGGGTTCAGACCTAGTTTAGTGTCCAGCACTGAGTGGAATTACTGAGAAATAAGAGATTTAGCGCAAAATGTAAAAACAGGAAAATCCCGCCATATAATCCATTTATTTCAACAAAGTAACTGTAATTCAATTACCACTCACTGAAACAGTAACTAACTGAATACAGTTACTCATCATTCGTACTCTGATTACTCTGGTACATGTAATCTGTTACTCCCGACACTGGTGAAGTGTCACAGGGACCGTAAACAAACCGGAGACCGCCACAGGCCCGCGGTGTGATGCTAACAGGCTAACAGCACAAAGTGTCAGAGAGTTTCCCACGCTCATGTTTACACACACACGGGATTATAACGGGTTCGGTTTATAACGGGTTTATAACGGGAGGTTTAGTGAGGGACAGGATAAATAAACAACATTTAAATTCACGAGAGGATGGTTCTGATGCTAACGAGGCTAACGAGGCTAACAGCTCAGTGGTTTTATTTACAGACACAAACACTGAGCCCGGAGCAGAGTCCAGCCCCGGGACAAGAGCCTGGAGCCGGGGACAGCGGGGACACAGTGGGGACACGGCGGGGACACGGGTGTCTCTGCGGGACATGTGCGGGGACATGTGCGGGGACAGCGGGTTGTTGACATTAGTGACAGATGCTCAGAGCTCGTGCACAGCGCCCCCTGCGTCCGCCCGCGGCGCTGCACCCTCCTCACAGACAAACAAAATGTCGGCCGGGCCTCGGTCACATGACCCCTTTGTGCTCGGAGAGCCGCTCCGCTCACAAATACACGCCGCAAACCCACATATCCCACCCGGGAAACACGCACCGTGGGCCCGTGACGGAGCCCCGGGCCCCGCGGCCGCTCACGGAGCCGTTTCCCGGTGATAATCGTCGTGTAACGTCTGTGAAAACTGGCCGCCATTTTGTGAAAGCTGGCGCAGAAAAATGAGGGACGCCTGAGTCCTGCAGAAATGTAAAGTAAAGCAAAAGCAGCGCGTTAACAGTAAAAATCCTACCGATTCCTCCTCTTTCTCCATCCCCGTGGGCATCTGCGGCACGGCCCGGTTGATGGATGCATATTCGTGCAGGTCCGGTAAATCCTCACAGCGGAAGACGGGGAGAGGCTTGGAAGCGTCCAGCGCCCGCGCCCGAAACGACAATTTACTCATTTTTCACAATTCCAGACGCGATATAAATATATCCGATCTCCAGATGTCCACAGCGGAGCCGAGTGGAGCTTTCATGGATGTGTCTGGGGAGTCTCAGTCTAATGTTCGGATGTGCTAGTGTTTAGGGCGTCGCCTCGGAGCCGGGGAGGCCGGGTCTCGTCGCTCTCTGTCGGACTGTGTTTTTGTGACGCTCCGCTCCGCGCCGCTTCAGTGCGCCGCTTCAGTGCGCCATGCACAACATGGCGGACATTTAAAAGTGTGCAGCTGCGCCTCGGTCAGGGTACAGCCCCCAGCAGCCTCAGCCAATGACAGCACGGCCCGGGGGCATGCGCAGAGCCGAGGAGGGGGCAAACTGAGCCCACTAAATATTCAAATAACTATTTACACCAAATATGAGAATAACTCTTTATACACTAAATATTCAAATAACTATTTACACCAAATATTAGAATAACTCTTTATACACGAAATATTCAAATAACTATTTACACCAAATATGAGAATAACTCTTTATACACGAAATATTCAAATAACTATTTACACCAAATATTAGAATAACTCTTTATACACTAAATATTCAAATAACTATTTACACCAAATATTAGAATAACTCTTTATACACTAAATATTCAAATACATTTACACAAATTATTAGAATAATTCTTTATACAGTAAATATTAGAATAACTTTTTATACTCAATATTAGAATAACTCCAGCAGGAGTGACACTGGCCAAAGAAGAAAACCATTTCTACACTTTACATAGTAAACTGTAGTTTATTACAGTAGCTACTTATTTAGAATTTATTATTAATATTTTTTTTTACTCTTTGTTATATTATATTTTGATGTTTGAGCTCCTGTGTCCAAATACTTTCCCTTGTGGATCAATAAAATCTGTCTTAAGTCTTTTTTTTTATTTAAACCCATGTGTGATGTGTGTGGATGAATGATTTTGGTGTTGGAAGAGGCCAATGGTGCAGATTGGCAGCCCTGTTTCTGTCAGTCTGCCCCAGGGCAGCTGTGGCTACAGAGGGGTTGAGGGTGTGGAGTGAATGAATGAAGCTCTGTGAAGCACTTTGGAGAAATAAAACCGGTATTGTGCACAAAATGATTCACTGGATTTCTACAGCAGACCTCCCAACACCTGCCTGTTTTATTAGAAGTTTGATGGAAATGAATTTAAGGAGGATAAACTCAGAGTTTGTGTCATACGTGAAGGTTCAAACAGCAGCCACGATTTCCTCACAGTTTGAAATGAAATAAAAACGATTAAAAATAAAACCGCGGCTGCAGCTCTTACCTCTGCTCAGGTCTCATCCAGGCTCCACCGGCAGAACTTTCCCTTTCTTCAGTAAATCCATTTCCACCGAAACCTGAACGAGCAAAACAACAACACAGGACACGTTTGAACAGCGAGGACGTACACCATACAAATACGAATAAAAATACACGTTTATGAGCTTGTCACAGCACACAGAGTTCAACAGAAACAGTTCTGCTTGTAGTTTGAGTCTGTCAGGGTCCGTTAAAAGTTTTTCTCCACAGAGTTTAGGGCTCTTGATGTAACAATAACCGAAATATCGTGATATCGTATCGTCAAAAGTCTCATAACAACATCGTGGACCATTACAACATATCAAACTATACGTCTGATATACTGGTCGATATATAATTTAGTGGTAATACAGTATTACAGTTTCCCGCGGTATCAAAAAGTGTCACCGATATCAGTTTCATTTCTGTCATTTAAAAAAATAAAAAATAAATCGGCAGCGTATAAAGACCTGATATAATATAATAATTTATTGATCCCTACATTAGTTTGATCAGCACAAATAAATCATCAGTTTAATTCTATCATGATTTAAAACTAACAGTGTCTATAATGTTTCTTTAACTGCGCGGGGACGAGGTTTGATTAGTTTCGTTCTGTTGTCATGTGACGCTCATAAAAGACCAAGACAAGACGACAAGTCCGGCCACAAGAGAGTTGGTCCCAAAAATTAAAAAAAAAAAAAATTTTTTTTTAAAAATACTAGTACTTCTACATTTTGGCTTCAGGACACATTTGTTTACATTTTACAGAAACTAAACTTAAAACCACATGACTCATTTACATAAACTAATGTCTCTGATAAAAACATAGTCCAATGAGGTTCACTTGGTCTTCTGATATTTTATGTTATTAGGTTCTTTTTTCAGACCAAGTGTTTGTTTTCATCCCTGACAGTTTCGACTGCTCCCTGGATGTTTCTGTGTCGTTTCTGGTCAGATGATTTAAACAGGTTTTGTCTCCGTCTTCCTCTCGCTGGAGGCAGGACGACAGCGCCACCTGCAGTCCCACTTCCTCAGGACAATATCCCAGATGTGTGAGAGTAAAAAAGCCCCTCGTCCCGGTTCACAGTCCTGTGGGCACGATGTTTGTTTTCCTCTGTCCCAGTGACGTTTGCTCCATCTCAATCCATAACGTGGTTTTCTCTTTTACACTGGCTTGAGTTGTTCCTGTTCTGCTTTGTGTTTTGTTGCCCATGTGGACGACAGCACCAAAACCTGTTTACATCAGCTGACTGCACACGTCACTGAAACATCACGTGACCATCTGAAAAAAGAACCTAAAAACATCTGATAAAAACTGTTGTTTCTTGTGTTTGATGTGGTTCAGTTTGTGTTGAACTAAAGGACACAGAGACTCATATGAGTGTTCTCCCTGTGACAGAGGGGTGTTCTCTCTGTGTGAGAGAACACCCCTCTGACACAGAGAGAACACCCCTCTGTCACACAGAGAGAACACCCCTCTGACACAGAGAGAACACCCCTCTGTCACACAGAGAGACACACCCCTCTGTCACACAGAGAGAACACCCCTCTGACACAGAGAGAAACACCCTCTGACACACACAGAGAGAACACCCTCTGACACAGAGAGAAACACCCCTCTGACACAGCAGAGAGAACACCCCTCTGTCACACAGAGAGAACACCCCTCTGACACAGAGAGAACCCCAGAGAGAACCCCTCTGTCACAGAGAGAGAACACCCCTCTGACACAGAGAGAACACCCCTCTGACACAGAGAGAACACCCCTCTGTCACAGAGAGAACACCCCTCTGTCACAGAGAGAACACCCCTCTGTCACACAGAGAGAACACCCTCTGTCACAGAGAGACACTGAGAGACCCTCTGACACAGAGAGAACACCCCTCTGTCACAGAGAGAAACACCCTCTGTCACAGAGAGAACACCCCTCTGTCACACAGAGAGAAACACCCTCTGTCACAGAGAGAACACCCCTCTGTCACACAGAGAGAACACCCTCTGACACAGAGAGAACACCCCTCTGTCACACAGAGAGAACACCCCTCTGTCACAGAGAGAACACCCTCTGTCACAGAGAGAAACAGAGAGAACACCCCTCTGTCACAGAGAGAACACCCCTCTGTCACACACAGAGAGAACACCCCTCTGTCACACAGAGAGAACACCCCTCTGTCACAGAGAGAACACCCCTCTGTCACACAGAGAGAAACACCCCTCTGTCACACAGAGAGAACACCCTCTGACACACAGAGAGAACACCCTCTGTCACACAGAGAGAACACCCCTCTGTCACAGAGAGAACACCCCCTCTGTCACAGAGAGAGAACACCCCTCTGTCACACAGAGAGAACACCCTCTGTCACAGAGAGAACACCCCTCTGTCACAGAGAGAACACCCCTCTGTCACAGAGAGAACACCCCTCTGTCACAGAGAGAGAACACCCCCTCTGTCACACAGAGAGAACACCCCTCTGTCACAGAGAGAGAACACCCTCTGTCACACAGAGAGAACACCCCTCTGTCACAGAGAGAACACCCCTCTGACACACAGAGAGAACACCCCTCTGTCACAGAGAGAACACCCCTCTGTCACAGAGAGAAACCCCTCTGTCACAGAGAGAACACCCTCTGTCACACAGAGAGAACACCCCTCTGTCACACAGAGAGAACACCCCTCTGTCACAGAGAGAACACCCCTCTGAACACACACAGAGAGAACACCCCTCTGTCACAGAGAGAACACCCCTCTGACATCGAGAGAACACCCCTCTGTCACACAGAGAGAACACCCTCTGTCACACAGAGAGACACCCCTCTGTCACAGAGAGAACACCCTCTGAGAGAGACACCCTCTGTCACACAGAGAGAACCCTCTGTCACACAGAGAGACCCCCTCTGTCACACAGAGAGAACACCCCTCTGACACACAGAGAGAAACACCCCTCTGTCACACAGAGAGAACACCCCTCTGACACAGAGAGAACACCCCTCTGTCACACAGAGAGAACACCCCTCTGTCACACAGAGAGAACACCCTCTGTCACACAGAGAGAACACCCCTCTGACACAGAGAGAGAACACCCCCTCTGACACACAGAGAGAACACCCCTCTGACACAGAGAGAACACCCCTCTGTCACACAGAGAGAGAACACCCCTCTGTCACACAGAGAGAGACACCCCTCTGTCACACAGAGAGAACACCCCTCTGACACACAGAGAGAACACCCCTCTGTCACACAGAGAGAACACCCCTCTGACACAGAGAGAACACCCCTCTCTGTCACACAGAGAGAACACCCCTCTGTCACAGAGAGAGAACACCCTCTGTCACAGAGAGAACACACCTCTGTCACACAGAGAGAGAACACCCCTCTGTCACACAGAGAGAACACCCCTCTGTCACACAGAGAGAAACACCCCTCTGTCACACAGAGAGAACACCCTCTGACACAGAGAGAACACCCCTCTGTCACACAGAGAGAACACCCCTCTGTCACAGAGAGAACACCCTCTGACACAGAGAGAACACCCCTCTGTCACACAGAGAGAACACCCCTCTGTCACAGAGAGAACACCCCTCTGTCACACAGAGAGAAACCCCTCTGACACACAGAGAGAACACCCCTCTGTCACAGAGAGAACACCCCCTCTGTCACAGAGAGAACACCCCTCTGTCACACAGAGAGAACACCCTCTGACACAGAGAGAGAACACCCCTCTGTCACAGAGAGAAACACCCCTCTGTCACACAGAGAGAACACCCCTCTGACACAGAGAGAACACCCTCTCTGACACAGAGAGAACACCCCTCTGACACACAGAGAGAACACCCCTCTGACAGAGAGAGAACACCCCTCTGTCACACACAGAGAGAACACCCCTCTCTGACACACAGAGAGAACACCCCTCTGTCACAC